CAGGTCTCAGTTTCCTCATCTGTAAAATGGGTATAATAACCCTTATCTTAAAGACAGCATCAATTACTATTAAATGCTTTGTGTACTTTAACGATCTGAGCCATGATCATGGTTATGATTATTGTTATTAATCATAATAATTCCATGTATCCTTTAACCAAAAAATACCTGAATTGTCAGTGAGATTTGAGACCTGGTAGAACTTCACTTAATATTAAAACTATACAGTCAGTCAATCAATAAACATTTATTAGATGCCTGCTCTGTGCCAGGCACGGTGCTAATTGCAGGCAGATACAAGCACAGACCATAAAGAAGTGTCTCCCTGAGTATTCAGAAGGTATTTAGGAATCTTACAGTCAATCAGCATGTCAGTCTCCTGGTATTTATGGCACTTTTCTTGATATGCTGGGCACCATGGTGGATGCAGACATCTATGATTTGTGCTCTCCCTAAGGACTATTTAAAATCTCGCTGGAGAGACATGACACACATGAGTCAGTCATAGAATAATTAAATCCTGATTTGTGAGGTGAGGACTCTTTAAGTTCTAGAGCAGTTTAGAGAAAGAAGAAATGAAGGTGGGCTGGGGCAGCATTTCCATTAAGGATATCATTTGTGAGCTGGGCTTTATGGTCACTATGAGAAACCTGAGTTCTTAAAATAGGATGGAAGTACCAGTTAATGAAGGGAGATCTCTGGTTGTTAGAATGTGGGATATGAGAGTATTCATAATGACATCCCTATGGCATTTGCCATACAACAACCTGGTAGAAGTGGGTTGTGCAAGTATTTTGTACCCATTTTACAGACAAGAGAACTGAGGACCAGAAACAGTCAATGACTTACCCTAGGGTCACGTCTCCAGAAAGCAGCAGAGATGGGATCTGAGCTGAGGTCATCAAACTCCAATCCCAGGGCTCTTTCCACTACTCTCCGCCAGTCCTCCTTTTCTTCATCCCAAATTGATATCTTCCCAGCAATTGGGGTGCCCCTTAATTTTAGCACTGCACCGTTATCAGTGCTCTGAGTCTGCCCGTTTATCTTTCTAACTGTAGCCTTCTGTTCATTGGCTCCCCCCAGACTATTGACAACCCCACAGCAGCAGCCCCCTTTGCTCAGCAGCTGAAGAACCTGCAGGAGAAGGATGGCTTCAGAAATGTGCTCTTTTCCAGTCATGTCCGGAAGGTAAGCACCCACCCGTGGAGGGTAGCCCTATGGGTCCATATTTTGGAGGAAAGGCTAGATTTGAATCTAGGTTCTACCAATGACTACCTGTATGATCCTGTGGCAAATTACTGGGGTTCAGCTCCTTATCTGTAAAATGAAGGGGTCAACGGCCCCTTCTGGCCCTAAGTCTATAATCTTATATGTCTAGGAAATCACAGTGTTCGGACTTAAAAGGGCCTTAGAGGTCATCTGATCGTTTGACAGAGTCTTTCAAGTTATCCTGGTGCGCAAGAGGTTGAGATGTGGGCTAGGCAGATTTGGCACTGGTTGAATGACTAGATCCAGAGTATGGTTATAAATGGGTCAGCATCAGCATGAAAGGAGGTCTCCAGTGATGTGCCCTGGGGATCAGTCCTTGCCCCTGTGCTTTCAATGACTTGTATGATGGTTGAAGTGGCAGGCTTATCAATTTGCAGATGATACACAATTCTAAGAGGCAGCTATGTGGCGCAGTAGATAGAGCGATAGGCTTAAAGTCTGTGTGACCCTGAGCAAGTCACCTAACCCTGTTTGCCTCAGTTTTCTTATCTATAAAGTGGGCTGGAGAAGGAAATGGCAGACCACTCCTGTATCTTTGCCAAGAAAACCCCAAACGGGATCACAAAGAGTCAGACACAACTGAAATGACTCACCAACAACCACACGGTTAGAAAGAATAGCTAACGTGTTGAATGACAGAGTGAGGATTAAAAAAAAAAATCAACCCACTAAAACATTCAGCCAAATCAGATAAGATGAAATTTAATAGGTATTAATTAAGGTACTAGACTTGGGTTCAAAAAGTAAACTTCACAGGTATAGTATGGGAGAGTTATGTGTTATATTGAGATAGAAATGTATCTGAAAAAAGATCTTGTGGTTTCGGTGGTTCACAAACACAGTGCATGCTTTGGTAACAGTTTGACACGGTAGCCAAAAGAGCTAATGAGATCAAGGGGTGGCTAGATGGGAGCAGCCCCGGAGTCAAGAGAACCTCAATTCAAATCAGACCTCAGACACTTACTAGCTGTGTGACCCTGGGCAAGTCACTTTACCCTGATTGCTACCAAACAAACAAAAAAAGCTAATGAGATCTTAACATAGCCTAGGAATTGGACTTGTGATTTTATTGGCATATGCAGGTGATAAACTCTCTCAAGTTGTAACCTTCTGTGCAACTCATTCTCTTAGTTACCTAGAGCTTTGAAAGGTCAAGTGATTGGCCCAAGGCCGCACATCAGAAGTAGAACTTGAGCTCAGCGATTCCTGGCTTTTCTAGGCTGGCCCGCTATGCAGCACCACACAGGGTCCCCAGCATAGGAAATGATAATCCCACTGGACCCTGCCCTGGTCAGACCACACGTGGAGAATTGTCTTCAGGGTCAGGCTTCGTATTTTAGGAAGGACATTGATAATCTGGACAGCCACCAGAAGAAAGTGACCAGGATGACTCCAGACCATGCCATCTGGGCCTGATCAAAGGAGTTGAAAGTGCTTAGTTGAAAAGATGATTTGAGAGGGGCAGCTAGGTGGCACAGTGGCTTTGGAGTCAGGAGGACCTGAGTTCAAATCCAACCTCAGATACTTGATACTAACTGGTTGTGTGACCTTGGGCAAGTCACTTAACCCTGATTGCCTCACCAAAAAGAAAAGAAAAAAAAATGAAAAGATGACTCGAGAGTGTGATCTTAAAGGCCCTTGAGATCTTCCTTTAAGTTTTGGAAAGGTTGTAGAAGGATAAGCAGAGAGATAAGACCTCTGGCTTATTCAGAACCAGGCCCACAATGGAAGTTACCAAGAGGCAGATTTAGGCTTGATGTAAGGAGAAATTTCCTGATGATTAGGGCTGTCCCTGTGTACAGGGGAGGTAGTGGTAAAGGTCTTCTGGCAAAGGCCAGATGACCACTTGTGAGGGATGTTGTAGAGCATGGGTCCTTAACCTGGGGTCCACAGAGAAAGAGGATGTTTCTCTCTGACCTTGGTGGGAAAAAAATTTTTATCTTCATTTTCACTGAAGTGACCAGCTAAGGTGCCCACCAGCCCCCCAGTGTGATTATCTATTTTATGCTGAGTTCGGTGAAGACATTTTTTGCTAAGTAAAATTTAGCATTTCTTCAATTATTAATATAAACAACAAACCACAGGAATATTAGCAGGGTCACACACCCAGTATATGTCAGAGGTAGGACTCCAATTAGGGTCTTCTTGGTTCTGAGGACGCCTCTCTATCCACTATGCCATGCAGCCTCTCTAAACTTTAAAGTGCTATGTAAAAGTAATGTCTTCTTTGGTGGAGACTGTAGAGTGGGAAAGGGAGGAAGGATGCTGAAGGTGCCCCTAAAGGGTGGGCTGAGTAATGCTAACCTGATTCTTCCCCTCAGGTAAACCGATTTAACAAGAGCAGAGACCGGGCACTGTTGCTCACTGACAAGCACCTTTACAAATTGGAGCCCAGCAAACAGTACCGTGTAATGCGGGCAGTTCCTCTCAGCCATGTGAGCAGGGGTAGCAGGAGAGAAGGCGGTACAGGTGGTGGGAGGTGGCGGAGGTGGGGAGTGTGGGGGAAGGGAGTGATGCTCAGGGAAGGGGAAGGAAAGGGAAAGGGAAGAGGAGGGGTAAGAGAAAGGAGAAGGGGAGGGAGAAGGGGAAGGGGAGGAAAGAGGAGGGATTCAGTTCGATTCAACTCAATGCAGTTAACACTTAGTACATGTGCTTGGTGCCATCACCTGAAGATGAAAAAAGAAACATTCCCTGTTCTCAGGGTGTTTATACTGGGAATTGACGGGGGGAGGAGGTAGGGAATATGCCATATATACAGATAAGTATAATCCAAGGTAGATGATGTGATCAAGGCAAAGGACAGGTCCTGTCTAAGTGTTCTAGAAAGAAGAGTGTGAGATTACTGTCAGTGTGGCTAGGGAAACCAGGGAAGGCTTCGCAGAGGAGGGTGGCATCTGAGTTGCTTCCTAAAAGTGGGGAAGAATTCTGAATGGTGGGAAATGAGGAGAGAGCTTGGGGGCAGCTAGGTGGCGCAGTGGTTAGAGCACTGGCCCTGTATTCAGGAGGACCTGAGTTCAAACCCAGCCTCAGACACATAACACTTATTAGCTGTGTGACCCTGGGCAAATCACTTACCCCCATTGCCTAGCCAAAAAAAAAAAAGAAAGAAAGAAAGAAAATCTCTGTGTCATGAAATGAGGAGAGAGCAAATTCCAGGCTTGAGATATGGCTTCTGAATACTGCATGCATTTGAGGAACGTTAGGACAAGTTTGGAGAATGGAAATTTATCTAATTCATTTGGAACATAGAGGATAGAGGGTAGTATTGTGGAATAAAGCCAGAAGGTAGTTTGGAACCATAATATATAGGACCTTCGATGCCAAACTGAAGAATTTGTATTTTATGCCAGAGGCAGTGGGGAGCCACTGAAGGTTTTGGTTTTTTGTTTTTGTTTTTTTTTCACAACGGACACTTGAAGGAACAAAGAAGGATATGTCAGTATTCAATTCAGTGCAATTCAACAGACACTTGTTATGGCGAAGGTACCATGTCTTACACATGGAATTATTAACATCTGTGATGTAAGCATTATTAATACATGTTTATAATAATGTTACAAACATTTATTAAGCGCTGAGCATGCAAAACTAAAGAAGATGCAGGCCCTGCTCACAAAGAGCTCACAGTCCAGTGAGAGAAAGGGAGGTCCACAAATGTCTGTCCTTCAGGAGAGTGAATGAGGACGAGGAGGGGACCACGCAGAGGGTGAGGGGAGTTTGAGGAGGAAGAGCTCACTTTCACTTTGAGGGGTCAGGAGCGGTGTCTTGGAAGAGCTACAGCCGAGGCTGGCCCTGAGGATGGGGAGGGAATCCAACAGACAGCGCTAGATTCAGGGAGAAAAATGTTCTGGGCGTGCAGGAAAGCATGAACAAAGGCAGAGAGGTGGAGAATGGCCACGTTGTAAAAAGCAAGTATGGGGCTTAAAGGGGAAAAGTACAAGATGAGATTGGCAAGGTAGGTTAGAAACAGACTGTGGAGGGCCTTGACGGTCTCCATCTTGGGGATGAACGGACTGAGGAAGGGATGAGGACGTGGATGTTTAAGAGCCTTGAGGGTAAGTCAAGGGCACTGGGGCTCCTGTTCCTCCCCCCAAGAGAAGGAATTGTAAGACACAGGGAGGGGCAAGTCAGGCATGGGACAAAAAAATAAAAAATAAACGATGAAGTATGGGGTTTCCCAGTTGGGTCAAAGGCACAGAAGATGGGCATTTGAGGGCAGTGTCCATAAGTGTCTCAAAGTAGCTGATTGCCTTTCCCTCGTACCTCTCTTCCCTCCAGGTGACTGGGTTGAGTGTGACAAGTGGTCAGGACCAGCTGGTGGTGCTACACGCCAAGGGCCAGGATGATTTGGTGGTATGTCTTCACCGAACTCAGCCTAAAATGGATAATCGCATTGGGGAGCTGGTGGGCATGCTGGCTGGACACTTCCAGGGGTAAGAAATGGGCCTGGGGAGGGGCAGCTAGGTGGCACAGTGTATAGAGCTCCAGCTTTGGAGTCAGGAGGACCTGAGTTCAAATCCGATCTCAGACCAGACACTTGACACTTACTAGTTGTGTGACCCTGGGCAAGTCACTTAACCCTGATTGCCTCACCAAAAAGCAAAAAATTAAAAAAAAAATAGGCATGGAGCAGGCGCCACTGGGGGTGATATGGTCAGAAAAAGGATAGATTCTGCCTGGGGAGGAAGTGTAAGATGGTAATGTGGACTCCCAACAGAGTCCTTTGCCAGGAGTAGGAGGTAGTACCAAGCAAGAAGCCAGGTCACCTCTCTCAACACCACCAAGACTTTCCATGACACTGGGGAGGCAAGTGTGGGAGAAGTATAGGAAGGGCCCAGAGGTCATAGGAGCTCTAAGGGGGCAGGGGGACACTTCCTTGGGAGCTGGGTGGGGTGGTGTAGCCACCTTGCATCTAGCCCACAAGAGTGGGAGAAACAACCGAGCTTTGCCTAGAATCCTAGGCCCTGCTATTTCTTTTGCTACAGAGTGGGGCAGGACCTACAAGTCCGGGTTTCAGACTGCATCCAGCTGAACCAGCGTGGGCGCCGGCGCCATGTCTCCGTGGAGACCAAACCCGATCAGCCCATGCCAGACTTTCGTCGTAGCCGTGATGGTTTTGTCCTCCTTTGGCCAAGTCGTTGAGTCCTGTGGGCCTCATCTCTTTCCACTGTTGTTCCAGGGTTCTCTTTGCCTAAGCATGGAGCCCACATCACAAGTAGATTTTTAAAAATTCAGTTCTAGAATGTTGACTGTCTTTGTGTATATGTATACGTGTGCATACCTCTGTGTGTGTGTGTGTGTGTGTGTGTGTGTGAGAGAGAGAGAGAGAGAGAGAGAGAGAAGGAAAAGAAGGAGGAGGAGAAAGAGGAAGATAATTCTTTGCTCAAGCTACAGAGTAACTTGAATGGTTTATGATAAAAATCAGTTGGTGTAACTGTTATTTGATACTTGGTATATACAGCCCATGAAGAGAATGGCCTATCATAGACTCCTAGCCCCACTCAATTCTGTTAGCCTAGGCAGATACCTATAGACGTGAAATACCACCCACAAGCACACAAGGACCAGACCTCATCCTTTGGTCCGTTCACCAGCCCACTTCCTTCAGTTAACGTCACTGAGTTCCCTTTGTATCTGCCCATTAATATACACACTCACCTTTGAGTGTTGATATCTCTCTGCTGTCAGCAGGTTTTTGGACTGCTTGTCTCCCTCATTGAACTTGTATGTAGTGATCCTTTCTGCCTTATTTTCACCTCCTTTGTTCCAGTTGGAACTTATTCAAGTTTTCCCAGTGGATCCTTGAGATTAATCTTGCCTATACAGTTGTAAATTCAGATTCTTTTACCTGTAGTAAATTCATTTCAGAGGAGAGGAATTATAGAGATGACAGGAGAAGGGGTGGCCTTTCTTGATCCATGTCCAGCCTGTGTCCCATCAGGTTTCGGAGAGGAAGACTGACTCTGGGAAAGGATCACTCTGGGAGGATTGGAGGGTCACGGACTTGTGTCACCGGCTGGTAGGAAATCACAAAATGAAGTATGGGGAAGGTGGTTGCCTTGGGAAGGAAGATGCATCTCTTCCCATACCCCCAAATTGTGCAACAAAACCCCAGACACTTCAATTTAGTTACTTTTTCCTTCCCTGCAAACATTCAGTTGACAGCAAATTAGCATGTGCTACTAATCTATTGAATTTGACATATTTCGCACTGAAAGCCCCAGATGTACCCAGTAGGTCCTAGTTCATCCCATAATTTGTACATTCAAAGTGGCAGAGAGGTATATGGGTATAGTCCCACAAAAATCAATAAACAGGAACTGAGCACCCCTCTTTAAACCTATGGGTGAGGCCCTCAGTTGCAAAAGAGTTTCTGCTCTACTATATCAGTCTGAACCTGGTCTGATGGAGTAGAAGAGACGCCATCTTTGGGGAGTCTTCAATTTGATGAGACATGACCTACATCCTTAAAGAACCCCTTTTGTGATAGGGTAAACCCAATCCCTGACCTCAGGGAACCCCTGTTTTGATGGAGTATATATAGCACTGCCCATCCATATCCCTCAGCTCCACCAAAACAAATAAAAACACCCAAACCCCTTCAGTACAACTTAAGAATGACAAGAATACAGAAAATACAATGAACATTGTACATTAAGAGCTTAGAGATATAGGAAAGGCAAAATCACCGTTATTCAGGGTCTGGGTAGAGATGAGGGAGGAAGTGTGGCCATACAATTCAATTCATCAACATCGCTTGTTTTGTATTATGAGTCTTTCGGGTTTGTTTGTTTGTTTAAGGACATACTATGTGCAGTGTACTGCCTAAATACTGTAAGGCATGAAATAAGATTAAGATAAAAGCGATTTCCTCCAAGAACTCACACTTTGGGTGGGGAGATAGGAGAGATAAAATTTTTTTTAAACAATCCAAGATAGCCTAGGGCCTAGGCAAAGAACTCACTGATAGATAGTTCATCAGACATACTGTAGAGTTATTTCATGGAATGGGCAAGGTGCAGGGTGGGGAACCTCTGGCCACCGGGGCCACATGTGGCCTTCTAGGTCCTTGGGTGCCACCTTTTGACTGAGTCCAAGTTTTACAGAACAAATCCTTTTATTGAGGGGATTTGTTCTGTGAAGTTTGGATTTAGTCAAAGGGCTGCACTGGAGGACCTAGAGGGCCACATATGGCCTCTAGGCTGCAGGTTCCCCATCCCTGGAGGGATAGACTAAATAAGCCCATCTGATGCAATTTCACTGGCTAGGGCCTTGCCTGGGGTCATTAATGTCAAATATGGTTAGTTGGAAAGGGAAATTAGAATGGTTTATCAAGATCACTGACCTACATTTTGCAAACACCACTCTTTACTTTTTTTTTTTAATCAAACAATTTGTACCTCCTGGTTCCTGCAGCAGCTCCCTTACTCTCCACCATTTTTCTCACTGATCACTGATGGTGGCTTATCCATCACACCCAACTCTTCTCAGTACTCTGAGAAGTAAATTGCTTAGGCCTGGTGACTTAAAGTCATTAAGACCATTTAAGTGCTCTCTTATTATTTTCTTATTTATTTTGTGTTCCATATCCTATCAGACAATTTCATTCTGTCTTTTCCATTCAAAGTATCATTCTTGGAAGGGAAAACAGAAGTTAGATTAAGTAACTCTGCATCCTTTCCCAAACCCATTACTGTTGTCATGTCCACCCTAGGAATGAGTCCTATCCCGTTTTTGACCTTGCTCTTTTTCTCAATATAACAACAACAACTCCTTTTCTTCCCCTTACTATTTCATCAGCAGCCTCAGCTCATTCTGACTTGTAGTGTACCTGAGTCTAATGAATATGATTTTGTTTCCACTTGGGTGTGTCTGGTTATGGTGTTATTCATCCTATTAAGTTCCCTTGCCCAAAGGTAGGCAAATTTTAAAATCTAAATTGGTTTGTGAGTTCCAATTTTATCTACACTGTTCTTTTTAATCACTTCCCCTATTTCTTTCTCCATCTGAATAGCTTTTATTTGCATTTCCAGAACTTTAACCTTAAGATTTAAGAAGAACTAATAAGAACTAAATCTTAAGAACTTAAGACTTAAATCACATGACAGCTCTTCATATATTTCAAGTTAGCAGTTAAGTCATGGGATCATAGTTTAGAACCAGAAGGAAACTGAGACCCTGAAGAATTTTAGGCCAGGGCATCCTATCAAACCTTACTTTAAACCTTTTGAAATCCATTCTCCTTAAATCTAAGACTCCAGTTACTATCTTTCCTCTTCTGTACCATGAATTCAAAGATAGAGTGGTCACTATTTCCCAACCCCTTATGGGGTGTTCATACCATTGGTAGAACACTGTGATAGAAGCAGCAATGCCCTTGCATCATTTATTGATTGTTTGAAGTTAAATCACTGAACAATGACTAATGATGGTGCAAATAAACTTTCAGTGCTCTCCTAAGTCCATCAAATGTCTAGATGAAACAGGGGCAACAAAGCATCTTCTTATGGCATATGTCGGGCTATACAATTCTTTAGGAGCACAGCACAGCTCTGTTCTGGGTCCTTATTTTGTTTGCTCCAAGTCAGAAAGATAGTCTTTCTTCATAACAATCTCCAGAAACAGTCTGACATAAAATTCTTCAAAACTTTCCAAAGCATACACTTTAAGCAGAGTGCTCAGGTCCCGGGATGGGGACTGTATTCAATTGTTTATCAATTGCACTTGAAAGAGGCACTACAATGCTTTCAGTTGCCCAACTTTAATAAATATCTCATCTTTGTCTCCAAATTGCTTGCAAGAAGTAATAATAACAAGGTCAGGCTTAATGTTCTCAGTGCCCAGCAAAACCTCTATCCCTGCCCCCATACCCATTTCCCAAAGGTAGGGTAATAGCTTCTGCCACACCAAGTCTGCATTTATTTCTCAAGTGAATCTAGGATGTGACACTTTGTCACAAGTGCATACAAAGCACTGGGCTGGGAGTCAGGAAGATTGGAGTTCAAATCTGGCCTTAGATACTTATTAGCTGTGTGACCCTGGTCAGGTTATTTAACTGGTTTGCCTTAGTTTCCTCATCTGTATAATGGGGATAATAACAGCACCTACTTCACAAGGCTGTTATGGAGGATCAAACACTCTTCGCACAGTGCCTGGCACATAGTAAGCATTTTGTAAGTGTTAGATATTATTTTTATTATTAGGCAAACTCAAATTTCCTGGTTGCTGGAAGTCATTTACTCTGACTCACAAGGTTGTTCTAGAAGTTCCCTTTAGTCTTTTTCTAGAGCCAGAAGTCCTTAGTTCCCAGTGATGCAGTCACTACCACCAGCTAATCCAGGAATGTCATTTAGGACAACAATGGGAAGGGAGAAAGTCCAGCATCCTCTAGGACCTTTGAAGTTGGAAGGTCTTTCTTTGGTCAAAATGAAGGGGTGCTAAAGATGGATCTCTCAAAGGCCCTGGACTTTCCCACATGGCCCAGGTCCTTGGGGTTCACCTAGGGCACCCAGCATCTCCCAGTTAATCCTTTCAACTGTCCTTTCTTTGTGGCCCTCATTGTCTGCACCCTGGCCCCATCCTAGATGACCACTCCTTGATTCCATCTAGACCCCTTCCACGTGGCCTAGGTCCCTGGCATTTGCCTGGGGCATCGAGCCCTTCTAGGTCCTTCTCTGTTACCTCCCAGTCACCCCAGACTATTTGGCCATTCCTAGATCCTTTCCACAGTCTTCTGTATAAAATGTCCATCTTTCCTCCATTAGAGTGCTCAGGTTCTTTAAGAGTTTGCTCTGTTTGTTAATACAAGCATCACAATGCACAGATTCTTAAAATCTGGCCTACCTCCACCAGTGTTTTAATAAACCTTGTCTCTGGCTGAAAAGAAGGCTTGAGTCGAATTCATTCAAGGCAGGACCCATGTCATTTGCCCTTGAATTTTGGGGTTCCCAACACCCCTAGACCTCAACAAAAGGTGGGGGGGTGCTGTGAGTTGGGGGAGATATGACCAAGGCTCAAGCCCCAGCTTGGCCTTCCCTACCAGGTGGTTTCTTCTCAGGTATGTGCTGAAAACTTACATGCTCCAATTTCTGGAAAAGCTTCCCCTTCTCAACTAGGTAATTTATAGATGACCCCTGGAGGCATCACCAAGACTTTTGAAACACATTTCCCATTTGGCACCATATCATTTCATTCAATGACCTTCAGTGACTTTTCACATTAAGTTTGAGATGTTTTGTTGATTGATTGATTGATTGATTGAGACATATCCTCACCTTGTTAAGATATCAGAACTAAAACAAGGTGGGGAAGTTTCAACTCCATGCTCATACACATACCACAGAGTCAAAAAGCATTTGCCATTTGTGCTGAATGGTACTGAGAAACTTAATATGACTCCTGTACATCCTGGCCCACCTCCTCATTGGTGCTTCAGTTTTTGCAAGCATTATTGCTCTATGATTTCAGGGTTCTGAGTCTTAAAGCTCTGCACAAATATAACTCTTGGCCATCTAATGCTTACCATTTTTTTTCCATCTCCAGTGCTTGCCAATGATGTAGTAATTCTGTTGCATAATTAATCCAAGCTTCCAATGGTTCTTCCCCAAGGGTACAGAGGGGCATAGAAACAAGTGCTTTCTTTAGAAAATACCTTAGTTGGGGGGGCAGCTAGGTGGCGCAGTGAATAGGGCTCCGGCCTTGGAGTCAGGAGTACCTGAGTTCAAATCTGGCCTCAGACACATAACACTTACTAGCTGTGTGACTTTGGGCAAGTCACTTAACCCCATTGCCTAGCAAAATTAAAAAAAAAAAGAAGGAAATATGGCCCTGTGGCCCAGGATATCCAGACTCCTTGCACCATCCATGGACTTTATCAAACATTTTAGCTCATCCACAATCTGATGATTGTGGTCTCAAACTCTGTAAGCAAGCCCTCCTCTTTAGATGGAGGCTTGGTGAAGAACTGCCAAATAACATCTCCTATAGTTACCATGTCGAGGTTTTTGAATAATCAACTGTTTCTGACCATTTACAAAAAACTGTCTGAATGAGGTCTCCCAAATTTTTGGGGAACTCTTCTCATTTTCCCAAATCTATTATAACTTCCTTTAATGTTTTTATGAGCTTATCTCTGCTGTCTGGATCTACTCAAAGAAGCACTCATCATGTTTTTAGAGTCACTATTTGATACCACATTCTTTAACATCTTGGCCCCTATTTTGTTCAAATTCTAATTAAAACCACACTCAGCAAGTCAGTAATGTAAATAGCAAGCAGACAAATGTGGGATGCCACCTTAATAAAAGCAGTAGATGAAAACAAAACAATACCATGTTAGCAATGATATTGAAAAATAATCACCAATAATGAGTATATGACAAGGCAAATATCAATGAATTCAATGCCAAATACAATTAAGCTTCAATGTAATCAATATCATGCCATTGTTATTAATTCCACTTGTTCGTGATTGATAACAGTGCAATACTACTGTAGGCAACAGATAGAATGCATTAATAATGAATGACATCCACCAACGTGATGTGTTAAGAATTCTTTGGGACACAATAGGTTGATCGTAAGAGAAGAAAATCCCAATATGTTTGTGTGTGTGTGTGCATGTATATATCACACACATGATATAATATATATATATAATATTTATAATATATTATACATATAAGCATCTATACACACATATACGTACATGTATATATGTATAAGTATTTATAGGTATAACTTTATTTTTATATGTATAATATAATATATTTTCTCTCCATATTTTAAAAAAAAATAACTCCAGTGAAGAAATGAGAAAAGTTCCTAAATGAAGATAAAAAAGAAAACAAATATTTTCAGGGAAAAAAAATCATCTGAAAGGGAAATACCCTCCAGCTCAAAAATTCAGAAACTTAAAAAAATCCTAGGATGAATGTCTCTACACATGACAATTACAAATCCCTGCATGTGACCTGAGAATGTGTGGCTGAGTATTCTGCAATTTCCTGGTTTGACTAAGGCCCTTCCACAGCTTGTGTATCTGTGGGCATAATAACAGTAGGTCTCAAAGACATGTTCTCCCCCAAAGTGGAGGATGGCTGGCCAATTTGTAGTCTTATGACTCCCTTGAGGAAACAAATAATAAGTTGAGGATGGGGCAGACTGAAAAATGAATGGAGTATAAACTGGGAGAGAGAAGCCCAAAGTTATTGAATCACAATGACAGACATGGGATTGAAATATTCTAGGAGCAAGGTGTTACAAACTGATCAGAAGCTTTCGTCGTTCTTCTGAGAGACAGCATTATTTCTCATGGGAACACATTTCTCCATCGTTTTTTCGTGTCAGCAATATCTAGCTCCCCATTGGCCTTTATGATGACATCTGTCTCACTAGAACAGGAGTTCTTAATCTGAGGTCTGTGGACTTAAAAGTGTATGTGTGCGTGTGTGTGTGTATACACACACACACACATATACATGCACATATATATATATATACATATATATATACACGCATATATATGTATATATGGCTATTTTTCAATATATTTTGTAATCCTATGTATTTTATTTTATGCATTTAAGCACATTATTCTGAGAAGGGAACCAAAGGCCGCACCAGGCTGACAAAGGGGTCCGTTACATAAAAAAAGGTTAAGAAATCCTGTTCCAGAAGCACAATTAAGACACGTCTAGGGTCCTGCTTCCATAATATTGACTGTGGAATATGCTATCATTGACCGAACACAGCAATACACTATCACTGAAGTAAAAATTAGGGGGCAAGGTGCCAGTTTGAGGTCAGAGTGCAGTATCTAATTTAGCCACCAGGTGGCATACTTTAGTTATTCCTCTGCTAAATTTGTACACAAGCCAGTCTCCTTTTGGGAGGTTTGACAGCTGGAACAAGGCTTTCTCCGCCTCCAACACACCATTTCCTTATATGGTATTTTCGTCTTATTCCTCTAGTCTCAAAAATGAAATGTTAACCAAAATTTTAAAATTAAATAAAAAATAATAACTCTATTGTATCATTGCTCCCATTCCATGAGATATTTTACTTTCTTAGGTCTTTTAGCACTCAGATTCAGGCACTCAGTATGTGGTTACATAGCTTTGATTAAAATGCAAAAGAAAATATAAACTCATCCCAGATGAGAGTAGTTCCCAAGTATGCATACCTGTGATTCATAAAGCAGAGTGAGGAAAGGGTGCTCACTTGCTCCATCTTAAACTGATGGACTACAGGAAGGTGAAGGTGGACCTAGGTGTGATTGATGGGAGACCTTGGGTCCCGTGGCACTAAACAACATCAGAGTCAGAGAGTCTCTTTAGTGTTCATCCTGCTGAATTCTGGGAAATTGAGATTTCAGACCTTGCTAGAAGTAATTGCCTTGGTCTATCAGGAGTTTTAATGTTGTATTTTTAACTTTTGATCCCATTCAGGACATGTACTACGATCTATGGCGTCAGTGTGTAATTGTTTTGAGTCCCACAATGTTAAGGAGATGAGAATCTCAGTGGGCATGGGATCATGAACCATTTGGATAAACATATAGATTATTGTTGATAATCTTCATAACTTTCCATCCTACACTAGTGAGTCAGAAACTTCAGATGAGACACTGAGAGCTGCAGGACGCAGGCAAATCCATTAGTGCCCAAGAGGACTGAATGGGAGCCAGGAGATGGTAGCCTAAGCTCACAGTGCTCTAACTAATTGCAAATGAAGATACAGCACACAGAGGAGCTGTTCCAGCCTTACCCCACTCTTTTCTGCCTCTAGAGCTCTTGGGGAGAGGAAAAAATTCCTGTTTTTACAATAATGAAATCCTTTGTTGTGTTAGGTGGCAATCTTCTTCCATTTCTTCTCCTCCGATCCATGACTTCCTCCCCTTAATTCTTAAGCTAAAAGTAATCACCCCCGTCTTCAAATCCTAGACTGCTTTGTCTGGCTTTTTTCCTTGTCCCCAACACATTTTGAAAATTTAGTGCATTTTATACTATTGTATTGTTGATGGAGTTGTGAACTGATCCAGCTATTCTGGAGAGCAATTTGGAACTATGCCCAAAGGGCTATAAAACTGTGCATACCATTTGATCCAGCAATATACCACTACCAGGTCTGTATCCCAAAGAGATCATAAAAAGGGAAAAAGGACCCACATTTACAAAAATATTTATAGCCGGTCTTTTTGTGGTGGCAAAGAATTGGAAATTGAGGCGATGCCCATCAATTGGGGAATGGCTGAACAAGCTGTGTTATATGAATGTAATAGAATACTATTGTTCCATAAGAAACAATGAGCAGGCAGGTTTCAGAAAAACCTGGAAAGACTTGCATGAACTGATGCTGAGTGAAGTGAGCAGAACCAGGAGGACATTGTACACAGTAACAGCAACATTGTGTGTGATGACCAACTTTGATAGACTTAGCTCTTCCCAGCAATGCAATGATCTAAGACAATTCCAAAAGATTCATGATGGGAAAATGCTATCCACATCAAGAAAAAGGACTATGAAGTCTGAATGCAGATCAAAGCATACTATTATTTTCTTTTTTTGTTTGTTTGTGTTTTTGTTTCTCATGGTTTTTCCCTTTTGTTCTGATTCTTCTTTCTCAACATGACTAATGTGGAAACACGCTTAATATGATTGTATATGTATAATTTATATCAGATTGCATGCCATCTTGGGGAGGGGGAAGAGGCGGGAGTGGAAATTTAGAACTCAAAATCTTATAAAAGTGAATGTTGAAAATAAAGAAATAATATATAAAATATATTTATTTTATTATCTATATTACATATTTATTTATATATTATATGTAAATATATATTTATATATAGAAATAATAAAAAAATAAATTTTTAAAAAAGAAAATTAGTGCATTTCCCAGCCCCTGGCCCTTCATAGATGGCAGCTGTTTGAGGACAGGTCCCATGTTATTTTTCCTGTGTACCCCCAGTATTGAGCTCATGGGAAGCATTTAAGAAATAGTTGACTTGGATTGAACTGAGTTGAGAAGGGGGTTGGAGAGAACACTGAGATAGAGAAGGCCAAAACCAACCATTTCACACAAAGTTTATTAACCCAAGGGGACCAGGGCAGAATTTGGCACCAGAAGCAGAAGTTTAGGTGCAGATTCACCCTAAGATCCTACACCTTGTCACCTGATCCAGAAAAAATGTCCTGTAGTTTCCTATATTTGTCCAGCAGGATTCTATATTTTTGATGAATGAAATTTGCAAAACTCCGAATAATTCGATGCAAAAAACCACCACTCTTTATGTCTTCAGGCTGCAGAAAAAAGGTAAACAGGACTGCTTAGGTGATAGCCTCTGGGGATCAGACTGCAAAGATAGGAGAAAACTGCACACTGAGAATCCTATCCTGTCCTATCCTCTGTTATAGTGTTCTTCCAAGTGGGGGACCAGGGGAAAGTGTATGATGTGACCCCAAGAGGTTCATGACTTGACCCTAAGGGGTTCATGCTTTCCCGGTAGGAAGATGGGAAGATGGAGCACACTGCACCCTCCCCCAAGAGAGGCAATGATGTGGTTCGTCTACAACTGTAATCACAACTATCCTCTACCCATTACAGTCCAGAATCTCACATTCCACCCCCTTTTGCAGCTGTGTAAGCTTCCAATCTTACCCCATCTGAGCTGCCCAGCAGCTGAGTAGGTGTCATTGGGAACATGTCTTCCCAATCATAGTGTACTCACCAGGAGTTTTTCTTTAAATGATTGGGTGGATTTAAAGACACTGCCCTTTAGGGTTTGGAGATGACTACCCTCTAGGGTCATAGCAGTTAGAGTTGTAAGAGACCTTAGAAAGCACCCGATCCAAGCTCATTTTAGAGAGGAGGAAACTAAGGCTCAGATCATTACATATCTAGTAAGTGACAGACCCAGTATTTAACTTCAAATCCCTAGATTTTGGGACTCCAAATCCAGTGGTCTTTCCACTGGACTAGCACAGGAGGATAATGCCTTAAGGGTTTCTTCTTCATTATTTATTTTTAAAAACATTCATTAAATTAAAAAGTTTTCCTAGAATGCCTCCCTCCTGTTTCAGCTCTGCCATTTACTAGCTATATGACCTTGGGCAAAGTCTCTTCACATCTCTGAGCCTCTCTATAAATTGGGATTGGGAGGGAAGGAGGGTTTGAACTAGATGGTTTCTAAGGTTCCTGTTAGTTCTAAATCCTGTGATTACTTCTCTGAAAGAACAGATCCAGGCCCTTCCTGTCCCACTGCCTCCTCTACTTCCCCCCCGCCTTTTCCTTAGGACTCTTAGGCCAGAGACCCCTCTAGCTCCAGAACTGGGGTTGGGTGTGGCAGATGGGGAAGAGAAATGTTCCTACTTTTGCATCTATATCTCCTACTGTAGCTTGGAAGAAGAAAGGGAAGCTAGGCTCAGCCTAAGGTTGAAGAGAGGGTAGAAAGGTTGGAATTGATCCCAAGCTCTTCTGGCTACAGATCTAGTCTGAAGGTTTGGTCTCTTTCCCCGGGACTCCACTGGGGAGATATCACTTACCCCACCACAAGAAATATTGATAGAGGGCTGAGTAGCATCCAAGGAGATGGTTCCAGAGCATTGTTTCACCAGCTGTGAAGGTGTTGGGAAGATTGGGCTCAGAACAGGGAGCCTATGACATCTACTTCTGACATGCCAATGATGACAGCGGTCCCACCATCCTGCCCCAAACCAGCCCAGTAGGGGCGCTTTTCTATGCTTCTAGTCTTGAGCAAGGCATTTTCCTCAGGGCATTAGGAAAGCAAAGCTCATCTTCCTGGGGAATATCCCCAGAAAGAGACCATCTCGACAGTCCCCCTTCCTAACCCACAATACACTCACCCCTTTCTTCTTAAATCTGCACTCAACCAGATTGTGTTGCTTGGTTTTGGGGCAGACGGTCTCCATCATGGTAAAGTTCAGGGCACGGGGAGTAGCAGGGTCATTGTTCTGGGGAGGAAACCAGAACAGCCTTTCAGATTAAGGTCTCATTTGAACTTCTCCAGGGCAGTAGCAAGCTACAGTCATATCATAGCATGTAGTTCTAGAAGCAACATTCAATATGATCCAATTTGACCTTTCAGTGGTCCAAGAAGGCAAAACTATTTTCGTAATAATATTAAGATGTTTTGATTTTTAATATAATAAATATCAACAGATAATCTACATAAAAGCTCTTTGGAGGGGTTCTCAATAATTTTTAAGAGTATCAAGGGGTCTTGAGACCAAAAAGTTTGAGAACTGCTGCAGGGGATCAGGAGAGAGAGAGAGAGATAGTTATGGCTTACTGTGACTAAGGAGAGCCTGGGTTATACTCTGAGGTGTAAGTATGGTTGGATAGGCAGGGATGGGTAAAACATTCTAGGTAAGGGAATAACTTGAGAGAAGCATAAAAACAAGACTGAACCTTCTGAATATGAGGAATACTTCACACCTCTAAAATGCTTTCTCATTCCCAAGGTGTTTTCCTCACAAGGATAATGTTAGGTGAGCTGTTCAAGAATGCTTACCCATTAGAGGTGACAAACTGAGTCTCAGAGAAGAAGACAGATTTGCTTAGGATCCCAGAAACTAGTATCAGACCTGGAACTCTTATCCGGGTCTCATGACTCCACAACGCTTTCCCAGTTAGGAGATTAGATTATTTGGAGCGAAAGGTTCATGTTGGGACCCCTTGGCAGGCTGGAGTCCTTTCCCCATACTCACTGCCTCAGGCTGCAGATTCAGAACCAGGAGTTGGAAGAGGTTGCTTGAGATCGACTTCTTGTTGTAGTTGTCGATGAATCGGTTCACCAAGTCCAGGTAGCTCAGGCTCTGGGCAGTGGCAAATGGAGTCATCAGACCAAGCAACAGGAGCGGCAGTGGTGACAGCCACATGGTCCAGCCCTTCTCCATCCTTCTCCTCTTGGTTTTCAAGGCTATGATCCGGAAGAAGCCATCTTTTATTCACTCCCTCCTTCCTGGCCTTACACGGTCCACTAGTGGGCGCCAACAGCTTTCTGAGGTCTATGGTTTCCCCTTTTCTTTTGTCATCTTCCAATACTTGTCTTCAGGGTTTGAGGTTCCCTCCAAGGGAAGGAGGTGTTTCTTCTTTAGTTGCTTCATAGAGCCTTGGAGTTAGTAGAAAGGAGGCGCTGGGGAAAGAGGGGAAATATGGTTAACAGAATAAGGAAGGCAGAGGGTCTAAGCTGGTGAAGGGATGTGAAGAAATGTAAAGAAAGAAATGATTTCCCCTTTTTTCTCTGCTTTACAGAGTCCTAGAGTCAGGTTGTATCCTGGATGGGTTTCCTTTCCAATTGCCCAATTACTTTGCACTAGATCCAGGATTGTTCAAATATAGTTCAGAAAGCCTCTCTGTTCCCCTCCCTGGGTCCTTAGACAGGTCTCTCCAAAGCAGAGGGCTCAAAGGATATCTGGTGCTCTATACTATTCATAATTCCCACTGTCTTGCTTTTCAAGATAGGGAGCCCTCCCTCCATCCTGTCCAATTCAATATTTAGTAAGCACCTATGATACTCAGGACCCTGTGTTCACCACTGGTTATGCAAAGATGAAAACACACCCAGTTCTTGTCCTCAACGAGTTTATAATCCAATAGGGAAATGAGATGAGATTCAATTCAACAAATGTATGTTAGGTACTCCTAGGTGCAAGATTAGAGGAAGACTGGCATAGTGGATAGATAGCAGGCCTTGGAATACAGCAAGCTTGGATTCAAATCCCACCTCTTCAATATACATCTGTATGACTTTAGGCAAGTCACTTAACAAGCTTCCTCTCCTCCCCAGTTCTACACTTCAAATTGCTTTCTCATCAGGTTCCTCTCTTCTGTTTCTTTGCTCTAGTCTTGAGGACAAGCAGGCTCTTTTCCTTGCCAAGGCCCCATCCCTCTGTTAGTTCTCTGGGTCCTATCTCCTCCCATCCCCTCTAGAAGCTTTCCCTTTAAATCATTCTCTCTTCTTACTTTTCAATTGCTTCTTATCAAATGACTCTTTCCCTGCTCCCTGCAAAATATTTAGAACTCCCCCATTCTTGTAAAATTTTTACTTGGCCTTACCAGCCTTTCAAGCTATCATTCTATATCTCTCTTTATAACTAAACACCTAGAAAAAAGAAAGTCTAAACCTGTTAGTTTTACTTTCACACCTCCACTTCCTTTTTAAAATATAATTATTTATTTTTAACATTTGAAAAAAAACATTTCAGTTCCAAATTCTCTTCCTTCCTTCAGCCCCTCCCCATTTAGAAGGCAAGCAATATGATATCCATTATACTTGTGAAATCATGCAAAACATGTTGCATATTAACCACATCACAAAAAAAGCAAGAAAAAATAAAGTGAAAAAAATATACTTCAATTTCTACTCAGAGTTCATTAGTTCTCTCTCCACTTCTTGGGGTTTTTCTTTTTTGCTAGGCAATGAGGTTAAGTGACTTGTCCAGGGTCACACAGCTAGTAAATGTCAAGTGTCTGAGGCCAGATTTGAACTCAGATCCTCCTGACTCCAGGGCCAGTGCTCTATCCATTGCACCACCTATCAGCCCAGATCACCTCCACTTCTTAATCTCTTCTAACCTTACTTCCCTGTAACCACTTGACTGCAAAGCTCTCTTCAACATTGCCAAAGATCACTTTGTTGATAAATCCAATGGCCTTCTCTTAGCCTTTATTTTTCTTGAATATTTTGCAGCATTTGACTCTGTTAATCCCCCCTCTTTAGGATACTCTATCCTCCCTGGTGTTTTGTGATACTGCTGTGTTGTGGTTCTTTTCTCACCTATCATATTGTTTTTCTTCTTCTCCTTTGTAAGTTCATCATACATATCCTGGCTCCTACATATAAGTATACTCCCAGCATTCTGTCCTGAGCCTTCTCTTCTCTCTGTCTATTCTCTTAGTACTCACATCAACTCCCATGGATTCAATGATCATCTTGATATCTGTTAGTTGTTTATGTAGCTTGGATAGCACACCTTTATCAGAGAAAATTGATAAGTTTTTTTTCCCATTTCACAACTTTCCTTCTTAACCTAGGTGCACAAGTTTTGTTTGTGCACAAGTTTTTCAGTTTCATATAATCAAATTTATTTATTTTATCTTTTGTAATTGCCTCTATCCCTTGTTTGGTTAAGAATACATCTCTTACCCATAGCTGTGAGAAGTATATAATCTGCTTCTATTCTATTTTTTTTAATATGATCTTTAATATTAAGGTCATGTATCTCTTTTAGAATGTATTGAGGAATATAGTGTAAGGTGTTGGTCTATGCCGAATTTCTGCCAGACTATTTTTCCAAAGTTTCTTGTCAAATAAGTAATTCTTTCTAAGTAATTTATGTTTCTGATTTATCAAATATTGAGTTATTGAGTTCCATTATTTCTGTTCTCCCTTATCTAGTCTCTTCCATTCATCTACCTTTCTTATTTTTAACCAATACTAGATGGTTTTAATGAGTACTGTTTTATAATATAGTTTAAGGTCTAGAAGTGCTAGTCCTCTTTTATCCCTACCTCTTTTCATAATATCCTTTGATGTTCTAGATCTTTTCTTTTTCCAAATGAATTTTGTTATTATTTTATCAAATTCTGTAAAGTATTCCTTTGATAATTTGGTTGGTAAAACATTAAGACTGCAAGTTAACTCTGATAGTATTGTCATTTTTATTACATTGGCGTGGCCCAGCCTTGACTCTTGTTCCAGCTATTAAAGTTGTTCCTTATTTCTTCAAGGAGAACTTTGTAATTGTTTCTACACAAGTACTGAGTGTGGTAATAGATTGACTGCCCCAAACTTTATACATTTTGTAGCTGTTTTGAATGAGATTTCCCTATATCTTAGTGTCTCTTAGATTTTTATTATTATATAGAAATGTGATTGATTGTTATATAGAAATGCTATTAATTTTTGCATATTTATTTTGTAGCCTGCTATTGTCTCAATTAGTATCTTTACTGATTTCCTAAGATTTCATAATTAAACTATCATATCACCAGTAAATAGGGATTGTTTTATAACCTCCTCACTGATCTCGATGGCTTTAACTTCTTTCTCTTGTTTTATTGTTATTCCTAGCATTTGCAGAACTTTATCAAATAATATTGTCAGGGGAAGTTGGAATCATTGCTTTATTCCTGTAATTATTGGAAAAGATTCTAGTGTATTATCATTGCATATAACACTTATTTTTTATTTTAACTAGATATTTATTATGTTTTTCAAAGGTCCTTTTATGTCTATGCTTTGTAGGGATTTTTAGCATACATGAGTGTTGTTCTTTGTCAAAGGCTTTTTCTTTTTTTAAATTTTATTAGTTTATTTTGATTTATCAACAATCGCTTCCATATGCTTTTGAGTTTAAAATTTTTCTCCCCCTTCCTCCCCATCACCCTCCCCAAGATGGCACACAATCTGATACAGGCTATACATTTACATTCCTATTAAACATATATATATATATATATATATATATATATATATATATATATATATATATATTCATTTATTGATTGATTGATTGATTTTTTTGGTTAGGCAATGGGCTTAAGTGATTTGCTCGGGGTCACACAGCTAGTAAGTGTTAAGTGTCTGAGGCCAGATTTGAACTCAGGTCCTCCTGAATCCAGGGCCAGTGCTCTATCTACTGCACCACCTAGCTCCCCCCTAAACATATTTTCACATTAGTGAAGTTGTAAGTAAAAATTAAAACCAATAGGAGGAACCATTAGAAAGAGGAAACGAAACTCAACAGAAGAGGAAAAAAATGATAGCGATTCAACTTCCATAGTTCTTTCTTTGGATGTGGATAGCATTTTCCATCACAAGGCCTCTGGAGATGTCTTAGATCCTTGTACTGCTGAGAAGTGTTAAGTTTATCAATATTAGTCATCGCACAACATGGCTGTTATTGTGTACAAAGTTCTCTTGGTTCTGTTCACTTCACTCAGCATCAGACCATACAAGTCTTACCAGGTTTTTCTGAAGTCAACCTGTTCATCATTTCTCATAGCACAATAGTATTCCACTACATTCATATACCACAGCTTGCTCAGCCATTCCCCAGTTGATGGGCATCCTCTCAATTTCCAATTCTTTGACACCACAAAAAGAGCTGCTATGAATATTTTTGTACATGTGGGTCCCTTTCCCATCTGTATGATCTCTTTGGGATATAGCCCTAGAAGTGCTATTGCTGGATCAAAGGGTATGCATATTTTTATAGTCCTTTGGGCATAGTTCCAAATTGTTCTCCAAAATGGTTGGATCATTTCACAACTCCACCAACATTGCATTAGTGTTCCCATTTTCCCACACCTTCTCCAACATTTATCATTTTCCTGTTTTGTCATGTTGGCCAATCTGATAGGTGTGATGTGGTACCTCAGAGTTGTTTTGATTTGCATTTCTCTAATCAATAATGATTTACAGCATTTTTTCATATGATTATAGATAGCTTTAATTTCTTCATCTGAGAACTGCCTGTTCATATGTCAAAGGTTTTTTCAACATCTATTAAAATCTATTAAGTTGTGGCTTTGGATGTTTTTGTTGTGGATGTATTGTATTTAATTTCCCTGGAATATTTCGACAGCACCTTAATTAGTCTCCCTACCACTAGTCTGTCTCCTCCTTAACCTGTATGTACTCCACCTGCTGTGAAATTGCCATCCTAAAGCATAAATCTGTTACTCCTCAGATCAAGAAGCTTCAATGGCTCCACGTTGTCACTAGGATAAAATACAAATTCTTTTATTTGACCCAAAAAGCCTTTTACTTTCTGGTTCCAATTTATCTTTCCAGACTCATGACATATTACTTCCCTTCAAGTACAACTGAGTTCTAGCCAGACTAATTATTGCTCTCCCTACATGACATTCCAATCTCCTACCTCTGGGCACAGACTATCCCCAAGGTCTGGAATCCTTTTCCTCATCCTTGAATCTTAGAACTCCTTGTTTCCCTCAAGGCTCACCTCAAGTCCC